TGTTTAAAATTTTCCACCATAAATATTACTTAAAAATTTTTAAAATAAATTTACATCATTCCAAGTGATGTAGGATACAATTGTGCTTCAGGGGAAAACTGTGCACTGTATGGACTCCAGAGCACTCCCTCTGAATTATCTGATTCTGATCCTATCTAGGTTATTTCACAACACCATAAATTATAGCTCACTGATGGCAATGACAGCTACCTAAAAGCATGCAAATTCTGCCCTACCTGGTAGAGTTTCAATTGGCCTCCTCCCTTCACGGTGGAAGAAGCTAGTTTTGTCTCCACTTGCACATTCATTTCAACATCCTTTATTCCATGTAAATGTGTGCTATTTTGATTTCTCCTTTGACCACATCACATCTGCCTGGTTCCCTGCTTACAAGTTAAATAAAAAATCCTTAACACACGTTCATTTTTATATCTGTATGAGAGTCATAACTGTACATTTTTGGAAGTTATCTCTTAATGATAATAAATAGTATTTATGTCTTTCTTGTGAAGCTGAAAGTAAAATAATTGGTATACTTGTGAATTATTACATGTTAATAAATAGTTGCTAAATAATTTCAGAGTAAACTGTAAGTTAGTTGTACAAATATTAACTAATTTTCCTTCCATTTTTTGTTTTCATTTCCTTATGCCACTAGCTCCAGAAACCCCTCTGTAATCTTTGTATCAGAGGCCTGGATGTATGTGCAGGAAGCAGGTGAGCTTGCCAGAGCAACATATGACCGAAGACACTTCAAAACAGAGCGTGAGTAACGTCTCCAGAAAACTCATGCCAGGAATTCTAAAATGCTTTTTCAGATCTAAGATACATTGTTGAAAGACAGAAGGATGGTCTGCATTACTTAGCAAAACTGTCTGTTTAGGTCTTCTGCCCATTTTTGGATTGGATTGTTTGTTTTTTTGATATTGAGCTCCATGAGCTGTTTGTATATTTTGGAGATTAATCCTTTGTCTGTTGTTTCATTTGTAAATATTTTCTCCCATTCTGAGGGCTGTCTTTTCGTCTTGTTTATGGTTTCCTTTGCTGTGCAAAAGGTTTTAAGTTTAATTAGGTTCCATTTGTTTATTTTTGTTTTTATTTTCATTACTCTAGGAGGTGGGTCAAAAAAGATCTTGCTGTGATTTATGTCATAGAGTGTTCTGCCTATGTTTTCCTCTAAGAGTTTTATAGTGTCTGGTCTTACATTTAGGTCTTTAATCCATTCGGAGTTTATTTTTGTGTATGGTGTTAGGGAGTGTTCTAATTTCATTCTTTTACATGTAGCTGTCCAGTTTTCCCAGCACCACTTATTGAAGAGGCTGTCTTTTCTCCATTGTATGTTCTTGCCTCTTTTGTCGTAAATTAGGTGACCATATGTGTGTGGGTCTATCTCTGGGCTTTCTATCCTGTACCATTGATCTATATTTCTGTTTTTGTGCCAGTACCATACTGTCTTGATTACTGTAGCTTTGTGGTATAGTTTGAAGTCAGGGAGCCTGATTCCTCCAGCTCCGTTTTTCTTTCTCAAGATTGCAATAGACATTTCACCAAAGAAGACCTACAGATGGCCAAGAGGCACATGAAAAGATGCTCAACATCACTAATTATTAGAGAACTGCAAATCAAAACTACAATGAGATATCACCTCACACCAGTCAGAATGGCCATTATCAAAAAATCTAGAAACAACAAATGCTGGAAAGGGTGTGGTGAAAAGGGAACCCTGTTGCACTATTGGTGGGAATGTAAGTTGATACAACCACTTTGGAGAACAGTATGGAGGTTCCTTAAAAACCTAAAAATAGAACAACCATATGACCCAGCAGTCCCACTACTGGGCATATACCCTGAGAAAACCATAATTCAAAAAGACACGTGCACCCCAATGTTCATTGCAGCACTATTTACAATAGCCAGGACATGGAAGCAACCTAAATGTCCATTGACAGATGAATGGATAAAGAAGATGTGGCACATATATACAATGGAATATTACTCAGCCATAAAAAGAAACGAAATTGAGTTATTTGTATACAGAGTGAAGTAAGTCAGAAAGAGAAAAACAAATACCGTATGCTAACACATATATATGGAATCTAAAAAAAAAAAAAGGTACTGATGAACCTAGTGGCAGGGCAGGAATAAAGATGTAGACATAGAGAATGGACTTGAGGACACGGAGGGGGGTGGGGGAAGCTGGGGTGAAGTGAGAGTAGCAGCAACATATATACACTACCAAATGTAAAATAGATAGCTAGTGGGAAGAAGCAACATAGCACAGGGAGATCCACTTGGTGCTTTGTGACCACCTAGAGGGGTGGGGTAGGGAGGGTGGGAGGGAGACGAAAGAAGGAGGGGACATGGGGACATACATACGCATATGGCTGATTCACAATGTTGTACAACAGAAACACAGTACTGTGAAGCAATTATGCTCCAATAAAGATCTATAAAAAGAAAGTAATCAAGATTTCCTGTAGGAGTCTACTCTACCACTTCTCTATTTTTCTTTCTCTTTTCCTTTTTCTTCAATGGTACTAACTGTAGGCACTGAAACTGCTTCACATTTTGGTCACAGATATGCCCCGCTACCACTGTACCTCTTGGCTATTAGGAGCCGTCTCTCACAGCCATCTGGGCTCCATGTTGGTTCCATTTTCACTGAGTTTAATGGTTATCAATCTAAATCAATCAATAAACCTTCTTTTGTGCTTATCTTATAAGAGTTTTACCAGTGCAGACCTAACCAAATTGGACTCCATACCCCATATAGCTCACTTCCAAAAAAAGATGTTATAGCCGTGATACTATAGCTATGTCCATGACCTCTCAATGAACATTTTTTTTTTTTTTTTGGCCATGCTGAATGGCTTGCAAGATCTTAGTTCCCCGACCAGGGATCGAACCCACGCCCCCTTCATTGGGAGCATGGAATCTTAACCACTGGACTGCCAGGAAAGTCCCTCTCACTAAACTTCCTGCCCTATTTCAAAATAGCAGATGCTAATTACTAAGAACGAGTAGAAAAATGTGTTAAAAAAATTGAAAGAGAAGAAAATATGCTATGTATACCCTTTCTTCTACTAGAAAAGACTGGCTTCCCTTGCAGTTTTCATTAGTCAGAGCTTCAAGTAAGGCTTTGCACAGTCTACACCTTTTGGCTAGTACTTTCTTCCTGATCTACCCCTCTCGCCCTCACCTGGCATACTTTCCCAATGCGTCCACTAAGCCCAAGCAAATGTCCTCTCTTTATGAAGCCTTCCCAGATCTCCTAGGCAGAGTCAGGAAGGCTTCCTCTGTGCTCTCTACAGCACTTTCTCTCTACCTCTTTCATGACAGTTTTCATGTTGAATTGTAAGCCTTTACTCCAATAGCTTTCCATCTCACTCCAAGTAAAAATCAAAGCTTGGAATCTCTAGCCCTCATTTAAGTAAGTACCACAGCTTATTTGCTGGATTCTGATGATTTATTCCGCTGGCTTCCCAAGCCTGCTCCACCCGTCCCCCCCACCCCGCCCCCCATCCCTAGTCCAGGCTATCCCTGGTCCAGCCTACTCACCCCTTGCAGGTGTTGATTCAAACATCACTGTAGGTGCTATCCTTCTTCACAGCTTTATGTTTTCCCAAAGCACTTATCACCACCTCTCATATTCTGTTTTATTGCTTATTTATCTCATTCCTTGTCTATCTCCCTCCACAAGAATCAAAGCCCCCAAGACGGGGTTTTGTCTGTTTTGTTTGCCGGTGGACCCTCGGTACCTGGAACAAGTTCTGGACACAGAAGCTGCTTAATAGCTATTCTTTTCATGAATGAAATGGCAGTCTCTCTCACCTGCCACTGGACATCTTAAAGGCAAAAATTTGGTTTTATTTGTGCGATTCTAGTATTTACCTGTCGCATACTATATATTCAATAATAATTCGTCTCATGGGTTCCCCCTTGGGGAAACAGGTCAACTCTGGGATAGGGCAGAGATCAAGAAAAGACCAATTTAACGACCTTTCTGGCTTCCACATCACTTTCCTGCTCCGTCTTCATTACCCAGGATCACTTAGATGAGGTCACATAAGGATTCTGGCCTCTCTGTTGAGGGACTAGACATGGTGGTGAAGCATAACAGAAGAAGTATAGAGTGTTTAGAAAGATTTTTTTTGGCACTTACTAGTCATTTATTGGTATATGTCACTAACAGAGTAAAGTGCCAAGAACTGAGAAGACTTTGCCTGGATTGGGAGGAAGGGGAAAAGCAGTGAGTCGGTGAAGGTGCCATTTTGGGATGTGTATTTTGGAAACCACTGTTGTAACACAGCTTGAGGTGAGGAGTCGGTGTGAAGCGGAAGGGGTAGGGAGAAGGGCTCCGCGGCGAGCCTGCCACCAAGACGTGAAGTGGTGGTTCTAAGGCTCCTTCCATCTCCAGGACAAGGAGGGAAGGAAGAAAGGGAGGGAGGGAGGAAGGGAGGAAGGGAGGAAGGAAGGAAGGAAGGAAGGAGGGAGGGAGGGAGGGAGGAAGGAAGGAAGGGCGGGAGGGGAAAAAGCAAAGTGCGCTAGCAGACTATTCTTAAAACATCCCCCCCCCCCAAAAAAAAAAAAAAACCTAAAAAGGGCTTCCCTGGTGGCGCAGTGGTTGAGAATCCGCCTGCCGATACAGGGGACACGGGTTCGTGCCCCGGTCCGGGAAGATCCCACATGCCGTGGAGCGGCTAGGCCCGTGAGCCATGGCCGCTGAGCCTGCGCGTCCGGAGCCTGTGCTTCGCAACGGGAGAGGCCGCAACAGTGAGAGGCCCGCGTACCGCAAAACAAAAAACACATCCCAACCAATCACAATCAACTAAGGCAAACAAACTTTGTCAACTTCCCCTTGACGTCGAACATCAGTGCCTTCCTTACTGGGAAGGCTGGGGTCCGACCTGGAGCTTCCAGAACGCTGAGCACGTCGGGGCTGCCACATGGTTCCGCGTAAGGAGCGGCCGGGCTCACCCCTGCAGGCGGGGCGGGCGGGGGGCGTGCGCGGTCTGCCCGCGGAGGAGGGGCGGAGGCGGGCCCGAGCTCTCTCCGGCGCCCGGGCAGCGGCGGGAGCGGGGCGGCGGGCATGGCGGAGGCGCGGCCGGGGCCGGCGGCGGGGGCGCAGCTCAACGGGCTTCCAGACCACTCGCCGCTGCTGCAGCCCAGCCTGGCCGAGCTGCGGCGCCGGGCTGGGGAAGCGGGCGCTCGGCCGGCGCGGCGGCCGCTCAGCGACGCCTTCCTGCTGCGGTTCCTGCGCGCCCGGGACTTCGATCTGGACCTGGCCTGGCGGGTAAGGGGTTCTCCCCGCCGGGCCGCACCCGGGGGACGGGCCGGTAAGCCGCGGCTGGGCCCGGACCCTCGCCGACGACCGGCTCGCCGGCCGGACCTCGGCGGGGACGCGGCCCGAGCGCACCACGCGGCGGAAGCGGGAGCTCTGAGGATTCCCGCGCTGGTCCTTGCAGTTTCTCTGGGTCGTGGAAACGGGAAACCTCGAAAAAAGCTGGAACCTTCTAGGGAGAGGGCCCATTTGACCCCAAGCACTGGAACTCTGCCCTGCACGAGTCTCCCGAACCTATAAACTTTGGGGAAAATGCTTCGCTCTCCGCGGCAGAGCGGGTGAGATAGAAAATGACAGCTGAAAAGTGGGAAGCCTAGAGTTATTCCATCTTAGCAGGTGGGGGAAATGAAATTGCCAGTAAAACTGAAGATCTAAAGCCAAATCCTAGCAAAAGAGTATTATTAATAGTAACACTGAAGTGTCAAGACGGTAAAGCAGTCCAGAGTGTTTTGAGTGGGGGGAATGCGGATGAGGCGCTTCTTTTTTTTTTTTTTTGCGGTACGCGGGCCTCTCACTGTTGCGGCTTCTCCCGTTGCGGAGCACAGGCTCTGGACGCGCAGGCTCAGCGGCCATGGCTCACGGGCCCAGCCGCTCCGCGGCACGAACCCGTGTCCCCGGCATCCGCAGGCGGACTCTCAACCACTGCGCCACCAGGGAAGCCCGGCGCTTCTTTTGTGGCTCCAGGTGTGTTATGACAGCTGGTTGAGAGCAAGGTGGTGGGAAGACAGGAATCAGAAAGGGGTACGACCTTGAGTTCTGGCACTTTGGACTCAGCATCCTCACCTGTTAAATAACGGTGAAAGGGCCTCCCGCGGTGACTGGTTTCCAGGACTGAACATTAACCAGTTTAATGGAACAGGACGTACCCAGCACAGAGCCTGGCACGTAGGAAGTGCTCAACAGTTGAACTTGATCTAGCCCTTTCTCCAAGTGGCTCGCTCAGTGTCACACGGCGAGCTAGGAGGCAGAGGAAGTATTATAGTGCAGAGTCCCAGCTGTCTCAGTATGAGGATTTTTGTTGTTGGTAACTAATTTTTAATTGAAAAAGTAAGAAGTACAGACGGTAAAAAAAAAAATCCATAAATAGTAAAGAATGCAAAGCAAGTTCCTAAAAGTAACTTTCAAAGGGAAAAAATTCCTCACCCCAGACCTTAGCTTGCCAGCCTCCTACCCAGTGGCAGTTACTGTTACCTGTCTCTTACCTTTCCAGGTGTAATCTACAGTCGCACAAGCATATGTATGTGTTTTACATTTTGTCTTTTTAACATAATTTATCATAGAGATGAATCTGTTTCAGCATGTGTCTTATTCTTTTGGGGGCTGTGTACTATTGCATTGTCTCAATTTATTATATTAAAATGTATTAACCAGTCTCCTGTATTGGACATAGGAGTTGTCATCAGACATTGGCAATGCTGCCGTGCATGCTGTTCATTCCTTCATTCAACGATTATTTTTTGAATTTCTACAGTTTGCTTGACAGTTCACAAAACACAGAAACCAAGACAAATAGGGTTTCTTCCACACCAACTGGGTATTCTAGTATGTCTTTATCATTGTATCAATACAAAAATAGGAAAATCCTTATAGGATAAGTTGAACTTGCACAATTGCTGGATGAAGTGCAATGTGCATTTTCAGTGTTGATGAATAGACCAACTGTCCTCCAAAGTGTTTGCACTTATTTTATCACTTCTATATTATCAATACATAATGGTGTCTTTCCCCATATTATCACCCATGCTGTGTCACCAAATTTATGATCTGTGTGTCAACCTGCTAGGAACTGGTTCTCATTACTATGATAATAATGAGGAACTGGTTCTCATTATTATTATAATATGCATTTATTTAATTACAAGTGAGGTTAATCATCTTTCATATATTTAACATTTTAAAATTCCTTTCTAATTAACTGCTTGTTTTGCTATTTTCTTCCACGTTGTTTACATAAAATATAAAACATTTTATTCATATCTTCGTGTATTAAAGAAAATAGGCTGTTGTCCTAGTTTGCGGTTTGTCTTTTGACATCATTAATGCTATTTTGTTTCTGTGAAGAATTTTAAAGTTTTTATGTAATCAAATGTATTGATTTGATTGTTCTGTGATTGCTTCTAGTTTCATAAGCTCTTCCCTTCTGCAAAATTTTCTCTAGTAGTTTATGACTTCTCTTTTTTATGTTGGAGTTGTCGATCTACTGCACTTCATTTTGACATTAGGAATGAAATAGGAGCCTACCTATTTCTTTTCTTTTATCAGATGGCTACTAAGCTCTCCTCATACTTACTCAGCAGCTACTAGATATGAAGACAGAATCTCAGGTCCAATGAAAAGTGTAGCTCTAATGGGGTATTAAACATTTATAGGTAACTAACAATTAAAAGTGTATGATTTACAGATTTCATTTTGGTTATTACTTTTTTAAAAAAAATTTATTTAAGTTTATTTTATTTTTGGCTGCGCTGGGTCTTTGTTGCTGTGCGCGGGCTTTTCTCTAGTTGCAGAGTGCGGGCTTCTCATTGTGGTGGCTTCTCTTGTTGTGGCACACGGGCTCAGTAGTTGTGGCTCAGCGGGCTCTAGAGCGCAGGCTCAGTAGTTGTGGCGCATGGGCTTAGTTGCTCCGCGACATGTGGGATCTTCCCAGACCAGGGCTCGAACCCATGTGCCCTGCATTGGCAAGCAGATTCTTAACCACTGTGCCACCAGGGAAGTCCCCATTTTGGTTACTTTTTTAAAATAATGTCTACTATGTATAAAACAGATAACTAATGAGAACCTACTGTATAGCACAGGGAACTCTACTGTTATCTGTGGTGACCTAAATGGGAAGAAAATCTAAAAAATAATAGATATATGTATATGTATAATTGATTCACTTTGCTGTACAGTAGAAACTAACACAACATTGTAAAGCAACTCTACTCCAATTAAAAAAAGTAATGTCTAGGGCTTCCCTGGTGGCACAGTGGTTGGGAGTCCGCCTGCCGATGCAGGGGACGCGGGTTCGTGCCCCGGTCCGGGAGGACCCCACGTGCCGCGGAGCGGCTGGGCCCGTGAGCCATGGCCGCTGAGCCTGCGCGTCCGGAGCATGTCTAAATAGAAGATAAAATAAAATTGACCTCCAGCCTCTGTGTTGTATATTTTTTTCCTGTATTATTTGTTTTCCTGAATTGTTTTCATTGCATCATGTCCTTGAGCAGCTGGCTAAGGACTGTGTCCAAATCTACGGGATGGGAATCAAGTTTCTGTGAACTCTTTGCCCTATTTTTCTGCCAACTTGAAAGGAAAAAGGGAGAGTTAAGAGTATGAAACTGTTTTTTCATTTTCCTCCACAGAGGCAGTGAATTCAGTTTACACTCCTTTATTTAAAATATGAAAGCCCTATAGTTTTAGTGTATGAAGAAACCTTGATAAGTCCCTCAGTTTTTTGTTTTTTTTTTTTGCGGTACGCGGGCCTCTCACTGTTGCGGCCTCTCCCGTTGCGTAGCACAGGCTCGGAACGCGCAGGCTCAGCGGCCATGGCTCACGGGCCCAGCCGCTCCACGGCATGTGGGATCTTCCCGGACCGGGGCACGAACCCGTGTCCCCTGCATCGGCAGGCGGACTCTCAACCACTGTGCCACCAGGGAAGCCCAGTCCCTCAGTTTTAATGAAGTTTCTCATTATTCTAGTTTTTGTATTTGAAATTATAACAAATTAGTGACTTTTGTGAATTCTAATAACTTTGGGAGTACCAGCTACTTTGGTAAGTAGTGTTTACGCGGATTATCTCACTATTTTCTCATTTTAGAAGAAACTGAGATGTAACGAGTAAGTAACTACCCTAAATCGCAGTTATGAAGGGGTAGAGCAAGAATTTGAACTTGAGCTGAGCTCAGGGGAGCCTGCACTCTCAAGTGAACTCTACTTGCCCCATCTGTTTAAAACAACCAACTGTTAACCTCTGTCTATTCTATATATTCTTGTGAATATATAGAATCTTATCTTTCACACGTGAATATTCCTCCTTATATTTTTGCTCTATGTGATACGTTTTTTATTCTTTAATTATTTTTATAGTTTTCCTAAATACTTCAATGTTTTCAAAATTCCACTGACGCTGCCTGCTCATTTCCCACGAAATGCAGCTTCTTTTGTAAAATTCACTGAATCAAGTGTCAGTTTCAGACTCCGCTCTGCTCCTGGTAGCTACTACCCTGAAACAAATGTGTAATTTCTTCCAGTTTAGTTTTCTTACCAATAAAATGGGGGTAACAATAGTTACCTCTTAGAATGTTCGAGAGAGAGAATTGAAATGATGCCATTAAACCCCAGAAAAGTGGCACAAATATGGTTGTAATTTTGTTGGAAAGTACACGAAAAATGTAAGGAGAAACCTACTCTGTTACAAAGCAGAGTTAAAATAAGCTGTAACTTTTTGTATTTATTTATTGCTAGTGGTGGTACAAAACAGGTGCCTTTCGGTAATGAATATGCACCCGCAGGCAGTTTTATTTCTGCCGTGGACTTTACGTGGTTTGCTGGAGAATTGCTCGGTAGCAGTTTACGTCATTTACATAATTAATTTATGTCAACCAGACTTTTGAATGTATTTATCAGTGGAAAAGTAATAATCAAAGATCCGGGTGTAGAGCCTTCAGTTTGCAAAAGTCAAGTGTCAAAAGTATGAGGGCAATTTGTGCGTCTTTATGAAAGTCATTTTTTTCAAGCATGTGGATCCAGCTGGTTTAATCATGTATTAATTTATTCTTTCGTTCAACACATGTACCTATCTCCTAAGTGCCCAGCACTCTGCAGAGATCAATAAGCTGAGTAACCTGCCTCTATTCCCTAAAAGATCCCTTTTTTTAAAAAATAATAAATTTATTTATTTTTGGCTGCGTTGGGTCCTCGTTGCTGTGCGGGCTTTCTTTTAGTTGCGGCGAGCGGGGGCTACTCTTTGTTGCGGTGTGTGGGCTTCTCATTGCGGTGGCTTCTCTTGTTGTGGAGCACAGGCTCTAGGTGTGCAGGCTTCAGGAGTTGTGGCACATGGGGTCAGTACTTGTGGCTCATGGGCGCTGGAGCACAGGCTCAGTAGTTGTGGCGCACGGGCTTAGTTGCTTCATGACATGTGGGGTCTTCCCAGACCAGGGCTTGAACCTGTGTCCCCTGCATTGGTAGATGGATTCTTAACCACTGCGCCACCAGGGAAGCCCCCGAAAGATCCCTGTTAATGAAGCTATAACTTTTATTATTCCACGGGAAAATAAAATTGTTATTTCTGTATTGGAGCTCCTATGCTGCTTCTGGTGTTTTGCTTGAATTAGAATTAAAAGGACTAGTTTTCCATCTGAGGGAACTATGAAAAAAGTAATGAACATTAAAAATGCTAGTAACATTTATTCTGATGCCCCCTAAGAAAGGAGAAGGAAGAGAAATTCATCTTATAGAAGAGAACGAATATATCAGGATCTACAAGGTGTCTCTTTTTCTTACTGCTTTTGGAATCTGCTATTTAGGTCACCAATTATTTCTTTGTTGGCAAATTTACTGACTTCTTTTCTTTCTAACCTCTCTGTTGCATTTAACTCTTAGTAACATTCTCTCTTTTTTTTTAACAGGGAAAGTTTCTTAAATGCAGAAATGACAGGGAGAAAGAAAGAGAAAGAGAGGGAAACAGTATCAGATAGAAAGAAGTGAGGAGTAGAGCAACACAGATGCCTTTCCCTCCCTTCTGTACATTGTGGTGCCAGATCTCCTGTGGTCCAACCAGATCCTCTCTTCCTCCAGCCATTCCCAGCCATTGACGTCCCCCAAGGCTTGGAATTTCACCCTTTACTTGGTTTTTTAAACTTGTTTTTGCAGTTTCTCCTCCAGATCATGACTACTTCGTGATTACAGTTCTCATGTTCATTCCAGTGACTCTCAAATGCAAAATTTGTCCTTTCCTTTCATCTGAACTTTGATTCCACATTGCTAATAGATCTCTTTAAACTCAAAACACATATACTGTCGTTTTAGAAAAACTGAGGATGCTGTAAATCATGGAAAGGTAAATTGAAATATAATAAATTTTAACTGTAATTTGATGTCAGTATTCTCCACAATACACTGGCAATGTTTGTATTATTTGTAAATGCAGAGTAACCATTATTGGTGGGTTTTTTGGAAAAAAAAAAGAAAATGCAGTGCTTTCAAACCATATTTTGCCAAGACCTAATATCTAGACAGACTGTTGCACAGGCTATCCGAGTGTATACCACCGTTAACAAGGTCGATTTTTGTTGTTTTCTGTTAGTACGGTATAGAAATGTTCCTTTGTATCTTTTTTCTAGGAGAGAAAATAAAAACCAAAATTTTTAGTTATCTTTAATATAAACCTGGACTAAAAGCTTGGATGAGCAATTAATCTAAATAACTTTCCCTATTAAGAGAACAGCAAGGCTGACTACCACTCTTTATGCCCATGTATGCTTTACCCAGCACCCTGCAAGACACATGTTGAGAAAACATGACCTCAGAGCAGTTAAATACATGCCAAGACCGAATGGATAGTAGGTGGTGGAGTCAAGGTTTTCCTGAAGCAGCAGCAGTCTGTGAATCAAGCTCTTCACTACATAGCATGGCCTGTATGATCCAGTTGTCACCAACCGGTGAGGTCCAAAGAGAGCAGGGATTTTATTCTGCCCACTGCTATACCTCAAGTGCCTCACTAAGTGTGTGGAACATTGCAGATGCTCAAAAACATTTGTAGAGTTAATTCATCTGCTTGATTTCTTTTCTTCCTTATTCACAAAGACTAAAAGGTGGATGTTTCAGCCTTCTATTGCTAAGTAACAAACCAACCCCGAATTTAGCGGCTTAAACCATGGCTCTTTATTGTAATGCGTCACTTTGGGCAGGGCTCAGCGGGGATGGTTCGTCTGTGCTCCACGTTGCATGAGATGGGACCATGGCTGAGGTCAGGCTATCTGAGATGGGCTCTCATCGTCCAGGGCCTCTCTCTGCAGAGATTCATTATTTAATAATCCTACATGCTCTCTGGATCCCAAAAAGCAAAAAGAGAAGGTCTCAGGCTTCTTAACCAAGCACGGTGTCACTTCCATCAAAGCGAGACAGGAGGCCAGCTCAGCTTCAAGAGGAAGGAATCAAATGGACTCCACCTGCTGGTGGAAGGAATGACATGTGCACACCAGGAGGGGAGGCATTGTTGACAGCTATCTTTGGGAGACTCTTTACCACAGGAGACAAATAAAAATTCCTCAACTTTGAATTTGTGACTAACTCCTATCACCTGAGATCCTGCATGAAGTGTGCTTTTAGCTTTTACAGCTAAAGAGATACCCCAGGTTAGAATCCTGACATAATACATGGCAAGGGCCCTACATAATGCCAAGACTTTCCTATCGGTCTTACAAAATGCTTACCATGTATGCTATCTGTAGATAAGTTTTATTTTATTTTCCAGTTACTGGAAAACTACTATAAGTGGAGAGCAGAATGTCCAGAAATAAGTGCAGATCTCCATCCTAGAAGCATTCTTGGCCTTCTGAAGGCCGGCTACGTCGGCGTCCTGAGAGCCCGAGACCCCACTGGCAGCAAAGTTCTGATTTACAGAATTGGTAGGTCACACACAGCACTTCCTCTTTTTTATTTTTCTTGACTGCCATATTGGAAGTTTCCATGAGTTCATATTTAAGAACTTAGCTTTTTAGGTTTTAACTTGGGTTTCATTTAGTCTTTTTTAAAATTATTTTTTAATTTTTATTTTTTCTATTTTCTTGGCTGCGCTGTGTGGCATGTGGAATCTTAGTCCCCCAACCAGGGATCGAACCCGTGCCCCTTGCATTGGAAACCTGGAGTCTTAACCACTGGACTGCCAGGGACATCCCTCATTTAGTCTTTAAGGTCCCCCAAATAGAATAAAACTGGCCGTTGTGAGAAACTTATCCAAAACCAATGAAAATCCTACTTCCATTCTTCCACACAGTTAACTATATAAAGTAAGAGGAAAAGAAAACAGAGAAGAGAAATACGTGGAAAAGGTAAAAAAGATCAAGGTAGAGTGTTTCAAAAATTCAAATAAGAATTCTGAACTATAATAATACAAGCTCCACGAGAGAATAGATTTTGTCTGTGTTCCGTTCACTGATGTTTCCCAAGCACCGAAACCGAAACCAGGGCGTGGCACATGGTAGGTATTTATGAGATATTTTTGGAGTGAGTGACAGAGTGAACGGTGATTGGGTCCTGCCCCAGGCTGCGGAGCGAGGGGCTCATTCTCCAGGTGGAGGAAGGGGAGGAAGGGGCCGTGGGAAGCAGCACCCAGGCAAGTGTTAAAGAACCCCTGTTCCACGTTCCCCTCTTTCTTTTTTTTTTTTTTGTTTGTTTGTTTGTTTGCGGTAAGCGGGCCTCTCGCTGCTGCGGCCTCTCCCGTTGCGGAACACAGGCTCCGGACGCGCAGGCTCAGCGGCCATGGCTCACAGGCCCAGCTGCTCCGCGGCATGTGGGATCTTCCTGGACCGGGGCACGAACCCGCGTCCCCTGCATCGGCAGGCGGACTCTCAACCACTGCGCCACCAGGGAAGCCCCCGCTCTTTCTTTTCACTGCTTCCTCTTTTCACCCCTAGGTCTTCCTAGTGTTTCCTGGAGGCTGGAAACCTATAACTTCTGCCCCTCCCTTCGACCTGTGTGTGATTAAAAATGGCACGAAACGGAGGGTTCACACTGTCCCCAGCATCCTTTCCTGGCCCGGTTGGAATGACAAAGATAACCAACATTTCATGAGCAGAATCTTATGAATTATCCTCTTACGGAAACTTTCACATCTGTAAATATTCTAGGGAACTTAAAGATATTTATAGATTTGCTTTTCCTGCCTGCTTATAGATAAGATACCTGCCTATAACTCAGCACTTGGATGTCTTGCAAGAAGATCCTGCATTCAGTTCTTGAAAAGGTAGCAGAAGACTAGAATGATTCTGTTTTTCTGCTCCAGCTTCTGTGTCAAATACAGCTGGGTTAATTGTGAAGTCGTTGTCTGTAAACCAGACATTACAGGTGCTCTTCTGTCCTGTCGTTGCCTCACCGGTGTTATAGGAAGTTGCATGAGGTTCCCCGAGTTCCTGAGGGTTAGAGTTGCCAGATTTAGTGAAGTATCTGTGTTTTATGTAGCAAGTGAAACTGTTTTATGAAAACTACAGTGTCCAGTTACATTTGAATTTCAGGTAAACAATGAATAATTATTTTTAGTATGCATGGGGCATACTTAGACTAAAAAAATATATCCAGTTTATCTGAAATTCAGCTTTAATTGGGCTTCTTATATTTTATCTAGCAACCCTACTCAGGGGTCCCAGGAGCACAAAATGGAAACCTACAGGTGATTCCTTCTGCGGGTATCCCGGCTCTGTATGCCTGGCTGGAGGTTTTTTGGGGTCTCCTCATGTTAAGAAGTAAAAATGAGACCTTAATAGTGAAAAAGCAAATGTGCTACTTTGATCAGAAACACCTTAACTAATAGAAGTCAACAGTCTTCTATTGTTTAGCGAGGGCCTCTTTTTTTTTTAACATCTTTATTGGAGTATAATTGCTTTACAATGGTGTGTTAGTTTCTGCTTTATAACAAAGTGAATCAGCTATACATATACACACATCCCCATATCTCCTCCCTCTTGTGTCTCCCTCCCACCCTCCCTATCCCACCCCTCTAGGTGGTCACAAAGCACCGAGCTGATCTCCCTGTAGCCTTTTGCAGTTATTAATTTATAAGTGTACTGTTTAACTCAAAGAGATTTTAAGATCAAGAAAACATATCAATTTAGTGACGGTCAGACAGGAGAGTATGCAGCAAATCTTCTGAGTGTTATGTAGAATAACATGTTACTCCAGGGCGAAAGGAGAAACTCAGAAGAGTTTTATGAGTAAAATGAAAGAATAGGATAAATTTATATTTATAAATTTTATAAATTTAATTGAATTAATGGGAGGGAGGAACTAAAAAAAGGAAATCTGTGGTAGAGCTTTTTGGGTAGAACGTTAGCATAACTCCTTCCCTGGTACCATCTCTGTGCAGTGTAAGCGGTGAGAAAATGCACAGAACCTTTTCCTCCAGTCCAGCAGGACAACCCAAGGTGAAACTAAAATTTTGCCATTATTGGCCTATAAGCCAAAGGATATAATTTTATGCCTTTTGAGACTCACTGCTGTACTACAGCAGCAAAAGTAAAATTTAGCAGCAAGCATTAAGTTTTGACTGGCTTGGTTCTCAGAAACACAGGTTCTAGGGCATGCTGCCTGGGTCGGAATCCCAGCTCTGCTACGTCTAGCTACATGGAAAGCTGTGCAGCTATAATCCCATCTTCTCATCTGTCAAATGGGCATAGCAGAAACTTTCCTCATAGGGTTTCTGTGAGCATTAAATCTTGCAATACAGTATATATAAAATATAATTAGAAAATTACCTGGTATGTACTAAGCACTCAGTAAATGTTAGATAGCTGCTGGAGAAGGAGTTAAAAATGTGCGGCAATTTTTTCTTTTGCCTTAAGGGAGCTTAGAGTCTAAACCAGCAATGTCCGATAGAACTTTCTATGATGGTGAAATTGTTCTTAGTAGCTACTAGCCACATGTAGCTGTTGAGCACTTGAAATGTGGCTATCGCAACTAAGAAGCTGAATTTTTATTTTATTTACTGTTAATTATTTTAAATATTAATTAATTTAAATTTACATAGCCACATATGGCTAATGGCTACTATTTGGACAGCACAGGTCTAGACAACTGTGTTGGTGGGCTCAGAAATTTAGGTCAGTCACTATTTTCTGAACTGCAGACTTTCAGTCATTCTGTTCATATTTTGCACCATTATAGCTTTCAGCCAGTGTCTGAAGTTGTACAGTACACGTGAACTGGTTTATCCATGGGTTGATTATTCACATTCTTACCAGGAATCTGAGGCTTTTAAAAATAAAGGGCAATTCCATTGTACCTTTCTAGGAATACCTCTAATTATCCCTTCTCTTTCTTCATCTCTAGATTTTTCCTTGCTATTACACATTATCCATTAACATTTAAATCTGTTAGGATCAGCCATCCAAAAGCTCCTTAATCCCATAAGACCCTCCAGCCTCCACCCTAGCCGTCTCCCCACACCTCTCGTTCTCAGCCACATTTTTAGAGTTAGTTATGTTCACCATCCACATTTTCTCACAGGTCCTCTCAATGCCCCCTGGTCTGGTTTCACTGCCACCTCTCTGGTGAAATGACCTTAGCAAATCATCGGTGACCTTTTCCCCAAATCTAATGGATGTGTTTAGTGCTATTTCACTTGACCTCTTTACATAGCAAACCTCTTCCTCTTTTTTGAGGTATTTGCCTCCCTTCTCTGATGCCACATTCTCCTGGTGTTTTCCTCCAACTTAAACTGTTTCTTCTTAGTCTCCTTTGCTGGCACTATGTATTCTACTGTAAATGCCGAAATTCCTTAGGACATTGGCCTTAGCCTCCTCTTCTTAAGCTACTTACCTCTCTACCATAACAGAGAGAAACATAAGTCCATGGTACTCCCTGCTATAGACCTATAAGCACAGAAACTCTGAGATTTGTATCTTCACCCCCACTATCTCTTTGTTCCCAAAGCTCCATACGACCAGTTCCCGATCTCAGCTGTATCCAACTGGACATCTCACAGTCACCATTCTAACGTGTTCAAAACTGCCTATGATCCTTCCTTCCTAAACACTTTTCTTCCAGTGTTTCCTATCTCAACAAATGGTACCACCATTCTACCCAGTTGTTCAAGCCAGAAACTTTGGTATTTTTAGAATTTTACCATCCCTTAGTCATGAATCTTTTTTTTTCCTTAACCCTTCATCTTGTTAGGTATTGCATGAACCTTGTAATCTGAAGATTTGCATCTTTTTCCAGCTTTGGAAAATTTTTCTCTTCTATTACTATTCCTTTCTCCTCTGTTCCCTATTCTCTGTATTATTGCCTTCCAGAACTCTAATTAGTTGGATTTTGAAACTTCTGGATCTAGCTGCATGTCTGTTAACTTTTTATTCATACATATTGACTCCTGGGTCTTCTTCTGTGTTGAGATTGAGAGACTTCCTCAGCTTGATGTTCCAAACCATTATTCCATCGTTGGCTGTGTCTCTTCTGACATTTATCCCATCAACTGAGATTTGCTTGGATTGTCATCTTTTTATTTCCAACATCTCAACTGATTCTTTTTCATAGTAGCCTGCTCTCATGACAATAGCCTATGGTATCTTTTTTTCCTCACTGAAACAATTTTGTTTCTTTTGCTTTATTAGCTGTTTCCTTCAGTTTTAGTGCCTTTGTCTATTGAGTTTGGATCCTCTCTTCTTTGTGTGTCTGTGTCTTTAAAACTATTAAAATTCTTAGTGGTTGCATATCGTTTTTAAAGATCACCTGCTTGCCTATCCATTACTGTCAATTTTGCATGACGTGGCCTGCCCCAGGACTGGTGGGGGAGGGGAGAGGACAAGAACTCAGTAGCTCCTCTTCTTAGCACAGGTATTCCTTGTTTTTCCTGGGTGTGGGGAGCTGGCTACCCTTCCGAGCGCACAATACTTTTCTAGCCTTTATGGACGTGCCTCTCCTACACGCTGCTCATCACGGAGGGTGTCAGAGAGACCCACCTGCCTGTCTGCTCTTCGCACATTTCCCTTAGCAGCAACCTCTGTGGTTACGATGGGGCCCTAGTTATTCTTCATGATCCAGAGCCTTGCTTTTCCCATTTTCAGTACCTTCGAGCGTGGAGCATACCCAGAGGCGTTCCCACCTTCAGCCACAGCTCCATCCTGCAGTAGTTTGGGCTGTAGTTTCGTCTGGCCATCAAATCCAGGCTGCATTTATTCTCTTATTTTCTCCGTGCTCTTAAGAATCTGTTCTTTGCTAGGGATTGGAGGGAGGGAGGGAGGGAGAAACAGGCACGTGTTCTTGGACCACCAATTCGATCTGTTACTCAATTCATGATCTTTGTACGTGTTTTATTTCTATTGATCCTTTAAGTCTAAAAAGAATTCGTTTCCTTTTGTAAATCTTTCTGATTCTTTACACAGTGCTGAGATATGATTTTTTACATTATTTTTTTTAGCACACTGGGACCCAAAAGTTTTCACAGCTTATGATGTGTTTCGCGTAAGTCTAATCACGTCCGAGCTTATTGTACAGGAGGTAGAAACACAACGGAATGGAATCAAGGCTGTCTTTGATTTGGAAGGCTGGCAGTTTTCTCATGCTTTTCAAATTACTCCATCTGTAGCCAAGAAGATTGCTGCTGTTCTTACAGTAAGTGTATATTTTAACTGTTTGGTATAATACTTAGTTATATGTTAAAGAGAAGGGATAGTACATTTATTAGAAAATTAAATACAATTTTAGAAATGATACATAGAATTCAATAACGGTAAGAGGAAGTAAAGTGTTATTAATTCAAAAAGAAAGAATGTTGCAACAAACTGTGAAAATATGTTCAAAATTTCTAACCACAGAATTCATATATTTAAACAATAATGTGGTGATTTTATCTTTCAGTCACTAAAATTTTCTTCCTAAATTAAAAATTGACTCAAAAAATAATATTTATAGCAATCATACAACAAAATGTCATGTAGGTTTTGGTTGATACAGATTGATACAGTTGATATACAGGTTGATAGATTGATACAGTTCTTTCCGGGGAAAAAAAAAAAAGTTTTAAAAATGGCCATCATCTTTGACCCAATAATCCTGCTTTTGGAAACCTAGCCAAGGAATAGTCTTAAATATAGCAAAGACTTTGTGTATAATAATAATAGCTTACTGTGTGCCAGGTACTTTGCTAAGTGTTTCAAGTGCATTACCACTTAATGGCTACACCAAAGCTTATGACATATGACTATTAATTTTTCCATTTTACAAATTATTTTACTATGTCAGAGGGGTGACATAGCAATGCCCAAGGATACACATTTTGTCAGCAGTGAAACAGGGATTCCAATCCAGGATATCTGAAGATAAAAGCTGTATTTAGAACCACCATTGCTTCTATGCATAAAGATAGTTACTATAGCATCAATTTTTAAAAATAAATTTATTTATTTAATTTATTTATTTTTGGCTGTGTTGGGTCTTCGTTGCTGCGCGCGGGCTTTCTCTAGTTACGGCGAGCGGGGGCTACCCTTCGTTGCGGTGTGCGGGCTTCTCTTTGCGGTGGCTTCTCTCGTTGTGTAGCACGGGGTCTCGGTGCACGGGCTCAGTAGTTGTGGCGCACGGGCTTAGTTGCTCCGCGGCATGTGGGATCTTCCCGGACCAGGGATCGAACCCATGTCCCCTGCATTGGCAGGTGGATTCTCAGCCACTGCACCACCAGGGAAGCCCCATAGCATCAATTTTTATAGAAAAAAAAATAGAAACAGCTTGTTTGTCCAGAAATAGGAAAAGCGTTACTTAAATAATGGTACATCCATTTGATGGATTATAGCATCAATATTAAATCTCACAATGTTTACAAAAATTGTATTATGTCAGTGAAACAAAACGGGGTGCAAATTATTTAGAGAGCATATTAGCAATTATGTTTAAAATAAAATTATTCATAGAAAGAACCTGAAAGGAAAAATCACAATTGATAACACATCTCTAAAAGCTATGTGCAGAAAAAAAAAAAGAGTTTTGCATGAAAGAAACTTGGCAGGAAAAATCTCTATATTAACAACACATCTTTGGGTAGGGAAACTAATGATGAGGTTTTTCTTTGAATCCTTAACATTTTAAACCTTAGAAAAAAGCCGATATTACTTTGTTTTTTGTTTTCTTTTTGTGGTATGCGGGCCTCTCGCTGCTGTGGCCTCTCCCGTTGCGGAGCACAGGCTCCGGACGCGCAGGCTCAGCGGCCATGGCTCACGGACCCAGCCGCTCCGCGGCATGTGGTATCTTCCCGGACCGGGGCATGAACCTGTGTCCCCTGCGCTGGCAGGCGGACTCTCAACCACTGCGCCACCAGGGAAGCCCCCGATATTACTTTGATGTGAAAGACTTATACCCGTGTCAAAAGTTTAAAAGTGTGTGTTTATTGTACTATTCTTTCAACTTTTATGAAAGTTTGATTTTTCTTCCTCAAAATAAAAATTTGAGGGGAAAGGTTAAGTATCCAAATGACTCATTGATTTTTCAAAAGCACATTTATATGTGATTGGGGAAGATATTTTCTGTGTCCTGCTTATGAAAGACACAGGTATTTCTTAAAATACTTGGCCTAAACTACAAGGTGCAACCTTTTTAGAGACCTTTTCTTAATCTAGGGACAGTGAACTATAATGCGGGCTATTGTGTTGATGGAATAATTTTGAAAATAAAATCACACTTTAGGTATTGCTGTAAGTTTAGCAAGTGTTCAAAGAAGGGGCTTGTCGATACGATTACATATTGATTTATGCTTTGTTATTAACAAGACATTTTCTTTATTTTCAAAGGATTCCTTTCCATTAAAAGTTCGTGGTATCCATTTGATAAACGAGCCAATAATTTTCCATGCTGTCTTTTCCATGATTAAACCATTTCTGACTGAAAAAATTAAGGAACGGGTAAGTAAAACATATTCAAGTCACTATTCTTCTGTACCAAATGTTCCACTCCTTTGTTATTTAAAAATTGCTCTCTTATTTCCGCCCCTCCCCCAACACACACAGCATTGTCCCAGTGTTTTGAATATTTATCTAACAACCCAACGACTTTTATAAAATTTCTTTTTAGTTTTGAAAAATCAAGTTAGTGAGGCTGTGGAAAAACTGGACCTCTAACACATGGCAGGTGAAACTGCAAAATGATATATTCCCTATAGGGGGCAGTGTGGTCATAGTTATCAAAATTACAGCCTTCACATTTCTGGGATTTTTATCCTGCAGATATACATGCTCATAAACAAAATTACATATACAAGGGGATTCATTGTAGCAAAATATGGGAAACCACCCAGTTTTCATCATGAGGGAACTGGTTAAATAAACTGTGATGCATCTACACAATGGAACACAGTAAGATTTGCAGGATGTATTGTGAAGGGAAATAAGAACATGCAGAATAGTGTTTATACTATCTTTTGTATAAAAAGGGAAGAAATCAGAATCTATAGTTATATTGGCATAAAAGTTATTTTTAAAGGATATGCAAAGAAACAACCAAAGTGGTTACCTATATGGAACAAAAGAGAGGTATGGATGGGGTAGCTGAGGATATGGTTGGGAGCAAGACATCTCACTGTAGATCTTTTATCTTGTTTTGATTTCTAGCCGTGTGAATGTATTATCTATGTAAATAATAAACATGCTTAAATTAGACATGTGTAACTGAAAACCATAGTACCCAAGGTATGTGACTTAATGTCGTTAGTTAAAGCAAATAGATTTGATTTTTTTTAATTAATTAATTTATTTTATTGATTTATTTTTGGCTGCGTTGGGTCTTCGTTGCGGTGAGTGGGCTTCTCATTGTGGTGGCTTCTCTTGTCGCAGAGCACGGGCTCTAGGCATGTGGGCTTCAGTAGTTGTGTCATGCGGGCTCAGTAGTTGTGGCTTGCAGGCTCAGTAGTTGTGGCTCGCTGGCTCTAGAGCACAGGCTCAGCAATTGTGGCACACGGGCTTAGTTGCTCCGCAGCATGTGGGATCTTCCCGGACCAGGGATTGAACCCATGTCCCCTGAATTGGCAGGCGGATTCTCAACCACTGCACCACCAAGGAAGCCCGATTTGATGTTTTTTACCTATCTTGCAGAGTCTTATCTCAGGTGAATATCTAATATTACTTGGGATTTTTCAAGTGTTGACAGTAGAGTGTGAGTTCCCAAACTGGCAACCACTCTTCTGCATGAATCTGTAGAGGATAATTTTTAGAGCATTTATTTAGACAAACGTTGGCAACATCTAATGCATGAACACAAACAGGTTTTAAAGGCATTGACAATTTAAATCTCAAAAACTATTTAAATAGAAATACTGGTAATGTGAGTGATAATAGCATATTTGGAATGTTACAAAGTATATTCTTTCATACTAAGAAAATGTAACATCTTGCATCTGGTCAGAAAATGACGACCCTAGAGCTTCTTTTGAGGTTTTCCAGTAGGTATTTCTGTCTGTCTTCAAGAAGAACTGCCCCTATGGAAGATTCTTTTATTCTTATAAAAGCCGGGTTTTTTTGTTCTTTTTTTCCTCTCTTCAGTATAGCTTGACAATAGCTGGCCATCTTCTGTTGAATGCTGACAGACATAAAAATAAGTATTTCTATTTTGGGTTATATTCTGGACCAAAAAAACAAATACAACAATAAACTGAACCTAATAAACAGGAGAACATGAGCAAGAAGAGAAGAAAAATTTTAAATTGAGAAGTGAAGCATTTCAATGAAAGTTAATTGACATGAAACAGACTTGCCAAAATGGGGAAGGCAGGGAGGACCAAATCTAGCCACTTTCTCCCTTTAAACATTTTGGCAGTACTCTATGAATGATTTTATTTCTCCCTTCCTGAAGAGATGGTTGAATTTCTTTTCAATTAGCTGGTAATATTTCAAACATTTCAGAAAAAAATCAAGGATTGGGACTGTAAGGTTCCTGAGTGCAAAAAACTTGTTTCATTCATCTTTCAGTCTTCATATCCTAAGCACATAGTAGGTGCTTATTAAATGATTGTTGAATGTACAGATGAATCCTAGCAGATGAATAAAGGTATTTATGTATTTATTTTTAACAAGATGTGCTTTTAATCAAAGGTTCCAAGTCTTTATTTTAACTTCAGGACATTATATGATCAATTTTTATAGTTTAAAATGTTCAAAAATTTAAAGTTCTCAACACAACAACTATCATAATTTCTCTTAATTTTTTATTAGCCAAGACTATCTGTCAACTGTACCACATAAATTATTCCCTGCGTACCTGATTGTGTGCTCAGATATATGCTTTTATTTAATATGAACTAATAAAAGGAAGAACATTTTTATCATCTACAGAACCATCCCAGGATATTCAATCTTTTGCTAAGAATCACCTGTACATTAGGGCATAGAATGTATAAAATGATTTTATTTAGAGTTTTAAAAATCTACTTTTGAAAGAAAAAAGAATAGCTTTTTGTAAATATTGTATAGTTATAAGGATGCAAATATAAGAGAACAGTAAATTGATCAGATTCAGAAGCAGCACAATCTAAACATAAGTATAGTTATTAGCTTCATAAGCAGAGGAATAAAGGATGTATCAGTAGTATCTATACATGTGCTCCTATCTTAGAAGTGATGAGAGCATCTTATCTTACAGTGTTGATTTTCCATTGGAAATGCATCTGATATACTGAGAGGCAGAGGGCAGACTTTCTAAAACATTTTGGCTGTTTCAGATTCATATGCATGGGGACAATTACAAACAAAGTTTACTTCAGCATTTCCCAGACATTCTTCCAGTGGAATACGGTGGTAAAGAATACTCCCTGGAGGACATTTGTCAGGAGTGGACAAATTTTATAATGAAGTCTGAAAATTATCTCAGCAGCATTTCACAGACCGCTAAAGGAGAAGAAGTTACTTAATGTGAGAGACTTCCTAATTAAAAATACATGAGTAAGATCCTACCTGGTTATATGAATGAAAGAAAAAGAATCATTAAACTAATGCTTTTCCGATTGATTTTTTTCAATGTAAAAATCTTCTAACTTGAGCAACATGGGTATTTGGGAAATTTCTTTACTTTTTAAATATCTTTTCTTTACCTTTAAAGTAATTAAATATTATTATACCTTAAAAGCATAGAAGAGGTTCCTGATTTTTGCACTCGGAAGAAAGTGATCTCTAAAGTATCTTTTCATGCGCACTTTGGTGTGTTTCTCAAAAGTTTTATTTTAAACAACTTTTCTGGTCACACTGGTTTGATTATAAATGAATAAATAGTCCACTGAAAAGAAATATTAGCACAAATCAACTGATTATAAAAATCTATTCATACTCATTTTGGGTGCGTGTCAGATAGACTATAATTCAGATTAAAATCTGAATACAGTTTTATATAGTTATTTCTGTGGGCCAGCAAGGTAGTTCACCTCAGGGAAATTCTATTTTACCATATTTGCACAATAGAAACTTTTGATTGAAGAGTCTGTACGCCATAAACTCTTATGTGTAGCATCAATAGGTCTCTATGAAATTATTCATGTTGATACAGTTAACTACATAGAGATTCAGAGGTGGAATAATATTTGGTTGCCGTATACGTGGACTCTATTTTTTGATTGAACAGTAACACAACTACACAAGGGAGAGGAAATGTTTACATTTTAAAATCACTGTCAACTACATCTGGAACTTTTCAGATTATGCATGAAGAAATTTGGGTTTTACTGTATTATCAGAACATTCTAGCCAAATCCTACAATTCATATTTACTTAAAAAAAAATCAGGAGTTAAAATGTGCTGTTTGTACTGTAGCTATGTTAAAGCATATTTCATTTATTGAGAAAGATATGTCAATATAGCTTTCAACTTATGACAACTTTTATAGTATTTTATAATTTTTAAATTTTATTTTAAACTTAAACCTGAAAGAACACAGTGTACAAAATTTGTTAAACATTTTTTAGCTTAGTTGGGTTTCAACATTAATCATACAATAGTATCTTTGTGAAAGAATATGTAAAGGGTGTTTTTCTTTATAAGAAAATTATTCTAATCAGATGAGCTGATACTTATGATTCTCTGTACATATATCTGTGAAAAATTGAGAGTGATTGTGAATGTTCTTTAGAGAACGTGTTTGATTTTGATTTAGCATTGGGAAGGTAACTTTACATTATAAATTTAATTTAAAATATTAGATCATGCCTGTTTTCTAAAAAGTGTTAAAATCTTCTTTACAAAATCATACAATTTAAATTGTATAATTAAAAATGACAGCAGAATAAAACTATTTAAAAAGTATAAATAATAGCAACAACAAAAAGTTCTAGTTTACCCAACTTTTATTCCGAGAAGGTTTACATCACAAAGTTCCACTTCATTCACATTTGGGTGCTTAAAACACTTTCTTCTGACTCTGTGAAGGAATGATTACTTTAGCACAAGAATAAAGGATAGTATTTTTAAATGTCTTTTAAATATGATTCATTGATGATGTTACTGACAGTAAATAGAATTAAAATAAGTCAATCAGTAGAAGTACATTTCATGATAGGACTTTGAATTTTTTATGAAATGCAGCGATTCACTGAAGAACATTAAAAGAACAATGTAAAATGAACAGGCAGTTTTATAAGGTGGCAAGATAAATAACTATTGAATTGTCTCTATTACTTTACTGTAATTGCACCAGAGGTGCCTTTTAAAAGATTAACTCTAACGTGTGCTCATTGTGTTACTGAACTGCCCGATAATTTATTTGTTTTAATATTGTTCAAAACAAAATAAAGATCTTTCACACAAACTATAGCTGTTTGTTTTTCATTTTTAAGCATGAATATTAGGCATTCTTTTTCAAAAACTGCTTTTCCTTACAGAAGAGGTTAAGAAAAAAGTATCGCATCTAGTTGTCCATTACAAAAACGCCAGTGTTTTCTTTAAACGTTTCAATTGCAGACTGGCTTTCCTGCTGCTCAGTTCAATACCGTCTTCCCCTGTCTTCTTGTGCTGAAAGGGACCCAAAATTAATTTCATAAAACTAAGCCATGCATACTTCAGAAGTTAAAACTTCTAAGTGAGAAAAGCCAGAGTGTGTCACTAAATCAGATAATTGGATTCTGAAACTGCTATGAACCCAGATCATGATTTCATTTGTCAAATTATGTTTTTCTTACAGAAATAACACTTAAGTCCCAGAGCAAAGAATATCTTTGTCTGCCACCTAAATGAAGCCAGTAGCTCACGAAACAGGTCAAACATACAGACAAACCCAAAACTCAACAAACTAGTAAGATGGTGTTGTCTGAAACACTCCTTCCTGGCCTGTGTGTTGAATTTTGCCCCACCTAGATGCTGTGGAGGAATTAGGAGTTACAAAGGTTGAACTAGAATGATGGCAGTAAAATGAAGATTGGCAGCAGTGCCTCCCCACTAATGTTCTGGCTGGCAAGGGCACATCCCATCCTTCTCCCTCCCCCAGAGCTAGCACTTGATTGACTGCTCGCCTCTTCTCTATCCAAGTCAATCATATCAGTCTGTTAAATATCTACTTTTGATAACACTGTACATTGAATTAAGTACTATAGTGAATAGAAAAACTAATTGGATGCTAACTAGAAGAGAGAAAATACTTATCCAAAATAGCCAGGTAGGACTTCCCAGGTGGCACAGCGGTTAAGAATCCGCCTGCCAATGCAGGGGACATGGGTTCGAGCCCTGGTCTGGGAAGATCCCACATGCCGCGGAGCAGCTAAGCCCGTGCGCCACAACTACTGAGGCTGCGCTCTAGAGCCCGCGAGTCACAACTACTGAGCCCGTATGCCACAACTACTGAAGCCCGCATGCCTAGAGCCTGTGCTCCGCAACAAGAGAAGCCACCGCAATGAGAAGCCCGCGCACCACAACGAAGAGTAGCCCCTGCTCGCTGCAACTAGAGAAAGCCCGTGTGCAGCAAGGAAAACCCAACGCGGCCAAAAATTAATTAATTAAAAAATAAATGGATATTTAAGGGAAAAAAACCAAAATAGCCAGGTAAAGTGCAGTACAGGTTTCTCCTGGTATCTGAGAGTAAAGCTTTCCTACCAAACCTTGCTTAAGCCAAAATGGGGTAACACTAACGGATGCACAAAATAAATAGAAAGCACAGGTGCTCATAGACACAGTTCAAAGCTATGGATGCTGGATGCTGAGATGCTAAGTGTGGTTCCAGGAAGGAGCTTGGCAGCGTCACTCTCACCGCTCTGGGTGGCGCTGCCTCTATAATGGCTCATGGCAGAACAAACACTGAGTGCTATTTTTGGCTTTTAGCCTTTTTTTGTAAAAGCAAAAATCCTTGTGGGATTTCTTTCGGTTAGTGAAAACAGGTACTAATGTAGGTTTTTGCAAAAGTGAAGTGGTGTAAAGCAGCCTTTCGAGAAGCAGCGGATACCTGTATAGTGTAAGAATCTTTAGAGTGGTTGCAATAAAGTGCTTTAGGAGTTTCACAGAAGGAAAGATCATTTCCACCCAGGGATCTAGAGGATATGTTTTTAGCGGAGGTACTATTTGAAGCACAGCCTTTAAGAAGAATGGACTCCCCCAGAGAGCAATCAGAAGTGAGGAGATGGAGGCTAGTCCAGGCAAAGAAATAGCACGAGCAGAGACTCAGAGACCAGAAGGAGTAGGTCACGTCTGAGAAGTCGTACGTAGGCCTATATTTTTGGAGGGAGGGCAATGCTACAGGAGCGTGGGCCTTCTGCCTAGAAGGATGCTTGGGAAACAAAATATGGGAAGCCTTGAATGTCAGCTGAAGGGCACTCAAATGTATGAACTGCTTATTTTGTGCCAGACCCTATATTAGATTCAGGGCACTCAAATGTATGAACTGCTTATTTTGTGCCAGGCCCTATTTTAGATTCACATACATGTGTCATTCAATCTTTGTGGAAAAAAAGAAGTAAGTGGCATTATGCCTGTGTTTACAGAAGAGAACTCAACTCTGAAAGTGTCCATTCCTTGCTCAGAATCACAGGGCTAGTAAATGCCAGAATCATACTGAACTCGGCCGGCCTAGCTGTAAAGTCCACGCTCTCTGCAACACCACCATGCTCCTAATAGACCCAATTCCACAGGCCACAGGGCTCAATGGCCACCAGGTTCTATCAGTCCTACCTGAAAATATCTGACCATGACCCACCTCTAAGGCTAATCATCTCTCATCCTACCTGCTGTCATAGCCTCTCTTGTTGGACTACCAGCTTCTCACTGGTCCTGCCTTTATATACCCCTCCACTGCTGCAGTTATTTTTCTGCAAGATTTCATTCTCTGAACTTTCGCCAGAGAAACACTGCACGCGGGTAAATTACTAATTGGCACCTGAGGCCCTTCACGATGAGGCCCAATCTGTTTTTCCATCCTTATATCGCAGGACTCCTAACCCCACGTATATGCTAGGCACACCAACCTTTTTTTTTTTAATTGGAGTATAATTGTTTTACAGTGTTGTGTTAGTTTCTACTGTACAGTGGAGTTCCCTGTGTTATACAGTAGGTTCTCATTAGTTATCTATTTTATACATATCAGTGTATATATGTCAATCCCAATATCCCAGTTCATCCCACTCTTCCCTTCCCCCCTTGGTGTCCATTTGTTCTCTACATCTGTCTCTATTTCTAGGCACACCAACCTTTTCCAAAAATATCACCCTTTCTACACAAGACCTCTCAGAATCAGCAGCAAGGGGAAGGGGCTGGGGGAAGGGGCAAGGGAGATGAAGTGTGTGTATTTTGTATTCTGGCCAAAATTCCTCAGAAATTACTCTAATCCCTACATTGTTCGGAGACAAATTATGTTCGTTTGACAAGATCAGCAAACACAGACCTTTCTCTTCTGCCCAAACCTGCTCACAAGGTCTCCAGTTTCCTGCTCTACGGCTCATTAGTAATTAGCTATGATTAGAACCACTTGTCATGACTGGTTAGACAAGGGTACAACTCTTTGTCCTCCTGAAACTTGTTGACTGCGGAGAAAAGCATTTCCTGTTCGGATACCTGACTGAGACTTCTGCTTGCAGAACAACCCCCAGAAGCCACTGTTCACCCCCTTCCATGAAGGTCTAAGGCAAAACCTCCTGAGTGAAACACCCTGATAGTCAGATCCAGGGAGCTGTCTATATTGCAACAGCCAGAATAATCAACCTCTTTACTTGTCCAGTTTTTGTTGTTGATAGAAGCCTCCCAATATTCCCTGACAGGTAGGCAGGTGCCCCGTCTGGAGTCAACAGAGAAGTTCTGGGGAAGGTTGTGAGCAACTGTTTTACCTCAGCTGGACTCAGCCCATGGCCACGGGAATGTTACACAGAACTGATGTGTCTGGGCCTCCCTTGGCCGACTCTGACCTCACTCAATCACTGTGTCAGACTAACTTTACTCCTGCACACCCAACACACATATACACACAGTACAGCACCAATGAAGAAGATATTCTAATGGCCAACAGACGCATGAAAAGATTCTCAACATCACTAATTATCAGGGAAATGCAAATCAAAACCACAATGGGATATCACCTCACACCTGTCAGAATGGCTATCATCAAAGCAATGACAAATAAGTGTTGGCAAGGATGTGGAGAAAAGGGAACTCTCGTGCACTGTTGGTAGAATGTAAATTGGCACTGCTACTATGGAAAAATGTATGGAGAGTCCTCAAAAATTTAAACTAGAATTACCATGTGATCCAACAATTTTACTTCTAGGCATTTCTCCAAATAAAACAAAAATACTCTTCAAAAAGATATGTGCACCCCAATGTTCACTTGTAGCATTATTTACAATACGCAACACATGCAAGCAACCTAAGTGTCCTCTGACAGATGAATGGATAAAGAAGATGTGGTATACATATACAATGGAATATTACTCAGCCATAAAAAAGCGATATTGCAATTTGTGACAACTTGGATGGATCTAGAGAGTATTATGCTAAGTGAAATAAGTCAGACAGAGAAAGCCAAATACTGTATGATCTCACTTATACGTGGAATCTAAAATACAAAACAAACAAAATGAAAACAGACTCACAGATACAGAAAACAAGCCAATGGTTGTTCAGAGGGGAGGGTGGTGGAAGGGCAAAATAGGTGAAGAGGGTTAAGAGGTACAAACCTCCACTTAAATAAGAAATAAGGAGGGAGGGAGGGAGAAAAAAAAAAGAAAAGAAATAAGCCATGCAGATGTCATATACAGCCTAAGTAATAATATTGCAATAAATTTGTAGGGAGACAGATGGTTATTAGACTTACTGTGGTGAACATTTTATAATGTATGCAAATATCAAATAACTATGTAGCACAGCTAAAACTAACATAATATTGTATATCAACTATATTTCAATACAAAATTAAAATAGAAGTCTTTTCTTCTAACTCCCATCTATGGGTCTCCTATTTCACCCTTCTTTTTAGATTATTACACATTTCTGCTTCTTCGTATTTTTAGTAACATTTTATGTTGGTCATTGTGTTTAACTAATAGAGGCTCCAGGTAATACCTCCCATCAAGTGATGACTCTTCCTTTCTTTTGTCAGATAGCATGAAAGGCAAGTAAATCCAATCAGGTCTTGAGCTGGGCAGCAGACTTAGGAGGATTCAGTCCATCTCTGGTTTATTCCCATTCTTCAGGATTGGTCCACTTGGGTTTTTGATTGGTACCCCGGATATTTTCTTTTTTCTTAGCCTTGAAAATTCTGCCTTTTGCAAATCTAAACTTAGTTCCTACCCTTTGCAGAGTCAAAATATGGCAAATGTCTGGAAGTGGAGACCTGTTGAGTGTTTGTTTCAGGCTCCCTCCCCCTCTGATGGGACTTTATCTCCAGTGCTCTGCAAGACAACTCAATGTTTCACTCCCTTTGCTACTCAGCCTTTCTAGTCTCTGGTACCATTCCAGAACTTGGCACATGTCACATGTGCTGAGCTATGAGCATGTACTTTATATTTTGCAATATTTTTCCCAGTTCTACACAACTACAAACAGTTCCACTGATTTTTCTTTTGGGCTAAGTAGTATCTGTTTGGGTTAAGATATAGCTCTATATTTCTATCTTATCTATGTGTATATGTATAGATATCTATGTGTATATGTATAGATATTTACCACTTATATCCCATTTTTGTCCATTTCTGTTCTTGGGCTGTAAACTTCTGGTCTAGATTTGATATGTACACAATATTATCTAACACTTGCTTAAGAATATTTAATTTTAATTTGGAGCTTGGCCTTATGGTTTTGTGTGCTTGTCTGTCTGTTTCCCTGGGGGAGAATTTTCATTAGGTGGAATGTTACCATTCACCTTCTCTGTTTTCTTCTGAGTAGTTTTGTGTTGGTTTGATTCTTTTAAAAATAGGCCTTTTGGGGAATTCCCTGGCAGTCCAGTGGTTATGACTCTGTGCTTTCACTGCTGTGGGCCCAGGTTCGATCCCTGGTCGGGAAACTAAGATCCCACAAACCGCATGGTGTGGCCAAAAAAAAAAATAGGCCTTCTGTAGACCCTTCCTAGTTGAAAGTGTTTTATTGTGCCAGTACAATGAAGTGCAGTTCCTCTAACAGACGCTTTTAGTGGTGGCAGCTGTGTGTATGTGGAGGCGAGGTGGGGCTGCTGGCATGACTTCTCTTCATTTCTCCCCTTACCTCCTTCTTTCCCTTCATCGTCGTGCCTTTAAAGGACACTACCCCCTTGTCAATGCAGTTGCGTCCCCCTCAGAAGCAATGTTTGTCTGAAGCTGACACCTCTGGCTCCTTCCTGAGAGCCAGTACTATAACCTTCCAAGACCCAGGCTGTGTTCAGTCTTTTGGCACTTAATGTTTGACATTTTTCTCAGGGTTTGATTTTGCCTATGTTATGTCTATATCATCCACTACTCTTTCCTCTTTTTCCAAGATTCTCTGAAGCCCTGCATCTTCTACTCTCAGCATCTAGAGTCTTGCAGCAGTGGAGGAAGCTTGCTCCTGCTGGAGTTTGCTACTTACCAATTTTCTGGTAATTTGATGTTTGTGATACCCTCCAACTCCTAGTATCGCATGAATCATGTGTAACTTTATTTGTACTCTTTGTACACCTCATGGGTTTTTTTATTAAGATGTGTGGACAGATTCTGGTTCAGGCAGTTGACATCCCCTGGACCTCAGCATAACTTATCTGTTGTTTCATTTCTTTAAAATTAATTAATTGATTGATTAATTTTTGGCTGCATTGGGTCTTCGTTGCTGTGCACAGGCTTCCCCTAATTGCGGAGAGCAGGGGCTACTCTTTGTTGCAGAGCATGGGCTCTAGGCGCGTGGGCTTCGGTGGTTGTGGCTCGCGGGCTCTAGAGCACAGGCTCAGTAGTTGTGGCACACGGGCTTAGCTGCTCCGTGACATGTGGGATCTTCCAGGACCAGGGGTCGAACCTGTGTCCCCTGCATTGGCAGACGGATTCGTAACCACTGCACCACCAGGGAAGTCCCTGTTATCTCTTATTAAAAGAAATTTAACTCTGTTCATAAGCAGCTCCAACTTATTAATTTTCATGCATCATAATTATCTATTATACAATTTATTCATTCTTTTATTGATAATGATGTAAGTTGCATGTAATAATTCACTATTACAAAAAAATGCTACAAAGAACATACTTGTATATATTTATTCACACATGCAAGCCTTTTTCTAGGGTACATACCTAAGTCTAAAAAGTGCTTGTGTTACAGAATATGTGCATCTTCACCTTTACCAGATATTGCCTAATTGCTCTAAAAAACAGTTGTAATACTTTACAATTCTACCAGCAGTGTTAAGAGAATTCTTATTTCTCTACACCCTTGACTTAGGTTCACATTTTTGTCATACTGATGGATGTGACATTATCTTGTCTTTAATCTGCATTTCCCTGATGACTAGTGAAGGTCTGATTTGTCTTTTCATGTTCTTTTCCAATTTTTCTATTAGGTTGTTTTTCTTCCTTGTTGATTTTAGTTCTTCAGTATGTGCTAGAAATGAACACTTTTGAAATTCTGTATTTTGTAAATATACCTTCCAAGTTTGTTTCTTATCTTTAATTTACTTAGTTACACAGAAGTTTTCAAATTATAACATCATTAAATCTACGATTTTTTTCCACTAAGATGTCTTTTTTAAAAATATAATGTTGTATGAAGTCCTGCTGACCACCAAAGTCATGAACATACACTCCTATATTTTCTTATCAAAGTATAATATTTTGCCTTTTACATTTACATCTTTACTCACCTGGAGTTTATTTTTGTATTTTTGCCAGGTAATACTTTAATTTTTTCCTATGTGGAGAGTCAATTTCTCCAGTACCACAAATTCACACTTACAAAGGTTCTGTTCAATTGTGTTCAAAACCAGCTGAGAATGTGAGGCCTTTCACAACATCTTTAACCGCACCCATGGAGCTTATCACTCATCATGCCCTTCTACAGCAGCATTATTTTCTTGCCAAACCAGACTACATATTGCATTCACTCTTCTTGAAATACGTTCTCTCCACAAGTCCTGTTCTCTTTTTTCCTTACTGAATTGTAAACTTATGAAAACAGACTTTGTCCAATTCGTCTTTGCATCCTCCATACTTGGCATTGAGTTGATTTTCAAACACTCTTCAATTTTATTCTGAATTTGACCCTTATAGGTGGGAACGCTCACCTAGTATAAGCCATATCTTTATATTTTGGTTTTCACGCAGAAAGAAAAAGCTGTCTTTCATCTACTTTCCCACCAAAATATGCCTAGTGTTTCTAAATCTCTTTTAAAATTTTAAACAGAAACCTCAAAAAACTTCTAATGACTAGGAACCCAAGTCATCCTTTCTGCCCCGTTTGTAGGACAGTCTGTGCTTGGGGTCAACAGCGAAGTTAGGAGGCACCGTCTGCGGGCCTGGCCTGGCCTTGCCCCTTTGCCGCGATGCCAGCGGCGGGCCGACCCAGCTCGGGGCTGGGGCGATGCGTCCGTGGACGTGTTCGCATCCATCGTCCTTCCCTCGTCTTCCCTTCGTATAAGCCTCGACCCTGAACACAAATGGCAAGATGTGGAAATTACCTCCCAAGTCACCGTACATCCTTGTATGGAACGCTGGGGTGTCAAAACTTGGCTGCCAGCCTTCCTAAAGACGATTTTATCAGCTCCCGACGATTTTAGGCAGGGGCTGCCGATGGCGCAAAGTTCTCAGGCGACTTCTAGAACCTCTCGCCAGCTTCCCCTGCTGCCAGGTTACCATTTCGGTCAGGCAGAGACCCTGCGGTTCCCCTTCGACCGCTGGACCGGGCGCCCCAGTTAGCTCTGGGTGACTTAAGGTCACGTCGAGAAAACAACTGAAAGGGCAGATTCGAGGACGTGGAGACCGCCCCGTGCCCACCCGGCACTTTCCCGAGTCTCCGCAGGCGCGGCGGGGCGCGGCGGGGGCGGGGGCGCTGCGGTAGCGCCGGCGGCAGCGGCGGTGGCGCCCTGATGGGGCGAGCAGGGCCTCTGATACCCAGGACCCGCCCGGCCCCGGCCCGGCCCGGCCCGGCCCGGCCCCGGCCCCGGCCCCGGCCCCGGCCCCGGCCCCGGCCCCGCTCCGCCCCGGTCCCGCGGCAGCCGCGCGCACGCGCTGGGACAGCTTTTCCCATAGGCCCCTGCGGCGGAGCACCGCCCTCGCCCTAAGCCCTGGATCGCCCAGGAGGCCGGGGTTGAGTCACTTGGCTGTTCGCCGGCAGTGCCTTTGAAGGGCGGCGGGAGGCGGCGAGCGCGATGGCGAGCTTGGGTCTTCTGCTGAGAGTGCTGGGCCTGGTCCTGTGCGGGGCGGCGAGCCTTGGGCTGTCCGCTCCTACCGCCCCCACCTCCAAGGAGCCCATCATCGGTGAGGAGGCGGCGGGGGCCGGGGGCCGGGACCGCGGTGGGCGCTTCCAGCAGCTGCGCTCCGGCGGCTGCGTCCTGTCCTAGAAGACCCAAGTTCAGGGTTAGGATGTGTGCCTTCCTGTGTAGCACAGGGGCCAAGCCATCATTTGGATCGTGCTGAAATATAGCTAATTAATGCCTCGTTGATTTCCTCAACTCCAAGGCTCTTAAAATTGGAAGGGAGGAAGGTGCACTGTGAAGAATCCTGCGGATGGTTTTCTTGTTTGTACTTAGCTAGGAGCTTCTGCTAATTAAACGGATTCTGTACATTATCTTTATTGAAATTTCACCGGCTGAGGGCGCATTTCGAGGAACGATGCATTATAACGTATAAAAATCGAATTGGCTAGATAATCAAGAAATAATGGTATACCTTGGTCTTTGTCATCTCCAGCAGAGGAGGGCAGCAGCGGCTGGTGTGATCCTAATGGCAATTCTGTTCGGTGTTAAAGTGAAGCATGTCATTTTTCGTTTTCGACAAATGTATGTTTTAAAAAGAGAGTAAAATCAATTTGCATTGCCAGAATAGACATTTGATACTGGGCAGGGGAAAGCAACCCCGAAGAAATCAGCCCGGATTTTAAATTTGCAGAAAGTAACTTGTGTGTGGACAGTTAAGATGGTCTCATTTTAGCTGTAGTGTTATGCCTTTCATATTGTTTTTTGTGTGTTCCCCCCCACCCCGAAGATCGGCACTGTTTTGTGTAACTAAATAGAAAGTAGATGAGCATTTTTTCATGTATATTGGTAGTGCCCAGTTTTCAAATGTGTTGTGTATCAGTATTTGGAACTCGGAATGCCTTATTTTATAAGCTACTTAAAATAGTGGTTAGAATCTCCCAGGGGAATTAACTCAAAGTATAATCTCATGTAGTGTGCTGGGAATTGTGGGTGCAGAGGGGAGGGAAAAAGGAAAGAAGAGGAGTGATTGTTTTCCCTTTGCTAGAAACAGTGGTTTCTAGGAAACAAGTCCAGGGTCAAATATAGAAAAAGTAAGTAAGCTTTTGGTTTACCCTGATCAGTTAAGACAAAATAGTTAACTGAATACCTGTGTGCAAGGCACTGAGTTAGGAGTGCAAAGGATCAACGAAAAGAAGCCGCGAAATTCATGAGATGGCCTCAAATTATGGGTAGAATTTTGGTCCCATTTTGAGGCGGGGGGAATATAGCCGAGCTCTTGTCCCAGGATGGAGAGGGGACGGGGGAGAAGTTGGTGGAACTTACCTACTCTAATGTACTTTCCTCCTTTCTGGTACCTTGTGTCCACGTGTCCCCAGCCCGCCTTTGTGGCACCTCATCCTTGCCTGTCCTGTAACCACTCCATTTCCTATGACACTCCCTAATTATTTCCCTGCCAATTGTTATTGTCCTTAATAAGGGCGATCTTACCACTCCATGAGGAGAAAAGCAGTCTTACTGAACAAAGTTTTGCATGTGGCATATATGTTAACTGAGTGCCTGATGAATACCAGTTATTGTAAGAAGCTGGGGATACAGGTGACTGACTGATAAGGACGGCCCAGGCCTGCAGAGACACTGAAGGTGTTCCAAATGGTGAAGTAGTGAGCGATACAGGCACAGGTATCCTCTCCGGAGAGATGTGTTTTGATGTGTCCTGAATGCCAGTGCTGTGCTGGGGCTGAGGTTTCAGGGGTAAGAGGCAGCCAGAGCTGTAGGTGTGCCCGAGCATCAGAGTCTGTAGAGTTTGTGAAAGTTTAGGAACCCATCGAAGTGCTCAAGCAAGGAGGTACCCCCTGCTGCTTTGATCTCTCTCTCTTCTCTCTCTGATTTCCTTTCTTGTCACTTTGTCCCCTCGCCAACACAGGACTCTAGTCACAGGCATTCCTTGCAGTGGGACAGGCACAGAGCTGACTCGGGGTCTTTGCACTTGCTATTCCCTCACCCTGGAACCATCTTCCTCCAGATATCCGCATGTGGCTGACTCCCTCACCTCTCTGAAGTCCTGCCGACAGTGTCATGTTCTGCCTTCTGAGAGAGGACTTGCCTGGCCACCGCATTTAAGAGACTTTCTTCTTTCCTATAGATTGGAACTTACCCAATCCTTCCTTCCCCAAACACACACCTTCTTCTGCTGCTTTACTTTTCTTCTCGGCTCTTACCACCAGCCATCACACTATTGTTTACTCTTTTGATCTTGTTTACTGTGTTTCCTCTCTTCTCTCCCTTCCGCACACTGGAATTAAAGTCCACAAAGCAGGGATTTGGTTTGTTCAGTTCACTCATGTGTCCCCTGCACCTAGTTCAGTGCCTGGTATATAGTATGACTCAGTAATATTTGCCAAAACAGTGAATGGTGATATCATCAGATTTCTTTCCATGTGGAGAACTGGTTGGAGTTGGAAGGCAGTTGCTTAAGAAAGGATGCAGAGAGACCTTTTAAGGGGCTATTATAATAGTCTGGGGTCGGGGGGACGCAAGATATTAGTTGCTTGGATTAAGGTGGTGGTGATGATGTTGGAGAGAGATGGATAGAAGATATTTTCACTCCTTTACTTTGTTGTCAAGGAAACGATGTGCCTTAGAGTGTGTGTGTGTGGGAAGGGAGAGGCCTCCTTCTAGATTGAAGGATCTGTACTCTGAAGTTGATTCTAGCTCTTGTGAAAAAGGCTGGTGCTATTGTAGACCTACTTTGGGGGCTTATTTGGCCTCCCTAATGAGGCAAGAGAGAAGGCTACTGAAAACTCAGATCAGCCTCCACTACCCCTTTCCCAAATGCTATAGACGTGCTCTTTGGGGGCTTATTTGGCCTCCCTAATGAGGCAAGAGAGAAGGCTACTGAAAACTCAGATCAGCCTCCACTACCCCTTTCCCAAACGCTAT